CCAGACTGCGGAGCACCGCAATGCACCTTGTTGGAAACCGAAGTCGAGACACACTCCAGTTTCAACAATTAGTTTCCGTCATTCGTGTCTCTCGTGGCTTAGGCTCACATGAAAGCGCTTTGCGATACACCAATCAGACCTCGTTTATAATTGCCTATATCTCTACAACACTATTAGAGAAAGAGCTATGATCTAATATTTGATCAATCTCATTCATACAGTGTCAAAGCTAAAATTTCCAATTGTATCATAAACGATGATGAAAATCAAATCTCAATGCAATAACATAGCTATTATTCTTCTTAGTTTCACATTGCTCGTTCGAGCGTGATGATGGATCTCTCTCTCATATACTTGTGATGCGCACGATGATTATACACAGGTATATGGGACCTACAGTTTAACGCCGGTTCCGAAGGGCAAATTTTTGATAGAGAGACGTACTGGCAAATCTACTCTCGGTGGTTTGCCATTGCCTTCCGAGAGGAGACGAGCGTAAATATTTTTGGCTCTGCCGGGAATCGAACCCGGGACTTCTAGCATAGTAGACTAGTGCGCTGTTTACTATGCCACGCTCGCTCTATAAATAGCTACTATAAATAAATTATAAATGTGTATATTATAACTAATATATAAACCAGATATCTAACCATTATAATAATAAGAAAATAAATATTTCAATCTATTATTGTAATTATCATAATTATTTACATTTATAGTTACTATTATAAAAGATATTTATCTTAAATTCTAAATTATCTAAAATCTTTGTGAATTTTTTTTATACTTAAGTATATATGTTCATATCTACATTTTGCACTTTTAAACGTCAATCTCAGCTTACAAAATGATTTATAACAACGTCTTGTTTTGCATTTTATCGTATTTATCGCATTACGTTATTTATCGTCGACACGTGAATCAATCATCGCTTGATTTTATCGTGCAGACGATGACCCGATCGTGGGTCAGACGAGAATTTATGTGGAACTTTACGCGACATATCGCTCATTTATAAGCGCCAAACATGTCGCGCCATGATCGTAAATTGGCGGATAATATCTCCGAGGACGAGTGCCGTCATAAAACATTTATATGTTGTAACCTAACGTTGGTGTACGACACATAAGCGCCTCGTTGGTTCGAACGTTAAAGAATTAACGCACTACTTCCGTCGCAGGTGCTACTTCCTGTAGTATTACCTGAGTATATTATATGTGACGTTTTTTATGTTAATGATCCGTTGCATTACAATATTATTTTTATTATAAATAAAATAATTTTCCTAAATAAATTTGCAGACCATTCTACAAATATTATAAAAATAATATAAATTAATATTAAACCCTACTTGTAATAAAAATATAATTAATTTTAGATATTAATATGTGTTTTAGGTATTAATATGTGTATGTATGCATACATGCGTTTAATTAAAGAATTTAGTAACAAAATTTGAATAACAAAAAACAGAGATAGTGGCAAAAATTTTGCAAGTGAACATTAACATCCAATTTGTAAAAGCGTTTGAGCGCAACGAATAAATTACTTCTTGAATTAAGTCCTTAATAAATCTTGGAGATATCTCTATGATTACTAGCCCGTTGATCACAGTTTATCGTCGAGCTTTCGTCCGAATCAGTTACATGTTTCAGGCCGGACCGCAAACTAATTAATTCCAACGTACCAGCGCGTAAACCTGGATTCATAGCCCATGGAGAGAACATATAAATTCGGGTAGAGCGATGGTAAAATACTCCCCCTTCCTCCATCCTGTTTCGAGGACTGAACGTACTTGGGCGAACTTTGATGGTTACGAGGCAAGCTTACCGGAGGCCTTCGTTCCGAAATGTAATTTTCAGGCACTTTATTGCGGTACGTGAAAGTCTATCAAACGTTGAGACTCTCGGACATGATGAAAGTCCTTCTCATAGAAGTGCGAGAAGTCCTCTTCAGTGTTATGAGTACGAAGGAAAGAATACCTCGAAAAAACATGGACATCAATTAAATTGAACTCGCATTTAAAGTTAATTAACAAATATCACAACAATACTAGTCAGTTTGACAACTATATGCTGCATTGTATATATCAATTTGTAATAGATATGTGAAAGATTGAACTTAATAGCCATTTTCAATTTTGTCCGTAATATGTGTATGACGTAACTTTATATTCTGCTCGATAATTGAGTGTGCATACTGGAAAACTGAATTCTTTCAAATTAATAATATTTATTTTAATAAACTATCGCAGTACAGTATTTTAAAAAAATTCAATTCTGTTGTTTTTTTCTGAAATTTGATAATTAACAAATAAAAATGATAAAATTTGAAACATATGTTGTTGAAATTTCGTTTATTATTTAGAAAAATATTTATCGCTTTAATAAATATATATAAAATTTTCGTACCGAATTACGAATTTTAAATATATCTTTGGAAAAATATTTAAATTCTATTTATTATTTCTTTGAGTTTAATTTCGTTTTTGTTAATTCCGAATTTTACACCATAAATTGCTGCGTGTAATGGCGCGTAATGCGTTGCAAACCGGATATGGTTCGATGGTGCGAAGTGTCCTTCGCTAGCTTCGAGGATCCAGGACCGATCCTTCTCCGACCAGGTCCGTTCGAGCGGAACTGATATCCCCTCTTGAAATCAGTTTCGTAACGAAATACCGGGTAGCTGCGGGCAAGCACGTAGGACCACTTCGTAGATAGCCGGGTTTCAAGGAACGGATAGGACAGAGGGCGTCGACTCACCTTCGAATGGGACACCCTTCGTAGAAGGGTGAAGGGCACAGAAGAGGTCCTTGCGATCGATGTATGCAGAGTTCTCCTCCAACAAGATAGGTTTTATTTCCGGTCGCTCGATCAGTAGCGCTCCGGTCTTTTCGCGAAACCATTACGTGGTGGCGAGACGCACGAGAGATGGCAAGGACGCCGAGGAGAACGGCGGGGTACGGGCGATCGGGAGACAGAAACAAAAAAGGCGCGTGTCTGTTTTTGTACCTGTGTGCCATCGCAGCGACTGGGGCGTTTCCGCATGCAAGAGATAGGACGTGCACCGCAATCTGAACGAAATCTCCAAACCCAATTTCCTGGACAGACAGACAGACGGACAGACGAACGAGTCGGCGCGAATAAACCGTGGACCGCTCGCGGTACCGACAACATCGATCTGGGTGCACCGGGACCGGATGCGGCTTTAATAATGCATCGCCGTGACTTCGCGCGGAAGAACGCGTGCGCCGTGTCTTATCGGTCGGGACGTTCGCTTATATCACGCGCGAAATATGGTGTAAAATATGGTGCAAATTTTAGATAAGAATAATTAAGAAGTTCGCTGGAAGAACGACTTAATACCAATTTAAGTCGTTTTTTCTTATCTTTTTTTTATGATCTACATTATGTTCGATTGTATTCTTACAAAAAATATGCTCTTCAAGTTTATACAAATATCAGTATTATTATTATTACACTCTAAAAATAAAAACACATTAGGCACGAAGATAAAATTTTTAAATACAAAAACAAATTTTTAAAAAACATAGATAAATATAGAAATAAAATATAGAAAAAATATAAATAAAGTAAATAATTTATGTATTATAAATAAAATTATGTATTATAAATAATAATATTATGTATTATAAATAAAAATATGAACCGTTATTAAAACCGTTATTTAAAAAATGCTGAATTTATAAAAATCCAAAATGGTGAAGGCTATAGATAAATAGGGTTGTGGGTCGTCATTCCATATATGGTTTTTAATAAAGCAGCAGCAACTACATACTTGTTAACCAGAATGCTCAACTGTCTGCTCGACATTTGCGAGCAATATTCGATTTCACGAGTGGCCAGCAAATATCTTCTCACGTATTTGGATACACGCGTTTCTCCGCTATCATGTTACTCGACATCCATTGCAGCTCAAATAACGTAATTGAATGACATGCGTCCGAGATTTTTAAACTGTAATTGTTTACTTTTTCCTCATTTTTATTTTTTATATTTTTTTAATAAACTAACTCTTTGGGTATACGCTTAATTTTTTGCATTGCAAGTTTAACGCAAAAAAATATATTTTTATATATAATGATTGAAAACTCAAAATGTATTATAAAAGTTTTAATTAAATTTATATACGCGCGTATATGTGTACATAAAACATAGTTTATTTCATATAATTGGCATATTCATGTGGATAATAATGAAATATTTTACGCATTATCTTGTTATTATTTCTATACTAATTATGCCGTATTACGTTAATCATAGCATTATATAAAATGATTGGCAGAAGCATCATAGAAAATTCATATAATTGTAATTATTTTATTAAATATGCAATCTTAATAATTTTGTATAATATGTATATTAATTAAGTATCGTACATATCTCGTTCAATGACCGATCAGTTAACGTGGGTCAAAATAATTTTAGACCTGACGTTCACTTGCTGGTAGAAACTGTCTATCAGATAATTTTGATGAGCGCATTATTCGGTGCAAAAGCAGAGCTAATTATACAATATTAACCTATTGAAGCGGATTCGTCGAGCGCTTAAGTGACGGGAAAGCTTTATCTTTAGTCACTAAATGTAATCTGCTGTCTGTCCAATTGGCAGATTCCAAAACTAATTCAATTTCACAATAATTAATGAGTTTATCGTTAACTACAGTAATGTCCCGCAATCACGGTTGAAGAGTTATATTTACGCTTGCAATATTAAATGAATAATATAATCAGTTATACTAAAATGAGAGAATATTACATATTTCAAGATACGATAAAAAATAATTTAAAAATCAAAATGTATCTTCTCTCTATATGCTTCATCTAATTGGAAAACTCAATTGTTATATATTATCAAACATATTTAAGTAATTTGGTCGCCGTATCATATCTCAAATTTAACATTAAATTAATTTAAAATTTTATTATTAGTCTTAATAGAAAAGAAATTTAATCTCACGCTCTTTATATGTTATTCAGGTAAAAGTTATGCTAAGGGTATCACCCGGAGACGGAGGCAGCTTTTTTAATGCGGATAAACGTAAAAAGCAAGTTACCTTGGTGGACCCAGCATCCGGGCAATCTTCATCGGCGGAAGATCGACGTCCTACTGTGGCGGCGCCGAAGATGTTTGCGTTCGATGCCATTTTTACCGAGGAAGATTCTCAGGTAAGTCGAAAAAATAAAAAAAAACATGATTTATTAGATATTTTATTAAATGAATGGCGAGAATTATTAAATATATTGAGATATTTATTTTAATAATATTTTGAGGATTGTAACAGGAATATGAACTCTTTAATATACTTTATCATTAACTTTTTGATTTCAATATGAGCATGAATCTCACACATTCTCCACTTTATACATATTCGACATAGGTCGATTCATCTGTCACAAAAAAGTACCTTGCCATGAGATTAAGTCAGTAGCGAGCGAGATTTTATTTCCATTCAAAGAGTTAATGTTTTAAATTTCAAATGGCACTTAAGCGTGACGCAACGAACAAAGAGCTGCCGCTTTGTGCACTTATAACGAGCGCGTTTAAGATCGCTCGATAGTTAGGAGAATTTGCACGCATGTGCGAGAGAGGGAAACGAGAATCTCGAGTCAATGATGTCTTCGTCAACCAACTGTTCTGGAGTAGTAAGTAGCAACAGTCCTCCAATGCTACTTCGTACTTGAAAACGCTCTCCTTCGCTCACTCACGATTTGTTCTCACTACGGGAAATTTTCTCCTCTCAGTTTGATTCTTCGAAGGCCGCTAGCCAGCTCGATTCTTCGGAATTCGCGAGAAGGAGAGCGCGGACCGGAGAAGAGACTCGAGGAAGTTTGCGAAGAATAAAAGAGAGGGAGAGAGTCGAAATGCGGAGGGAGGAAAGAGAGAAGAGAACCCTAGAACATGTACGTGCTCCGCTAAGGTCTTACGTCAGTAGTGGAAACGTAAGAGACGTCCCTGCCGGGCGCATAACTAAACTAATTTCCCGACCTCTAAACTCCACCTCCGACAGGAAAATCCATCCCTCCAGGCGAATGTTGCTCTTTGCCTGTGACTTCCCCGTTTGCTACCGAGCGAGTCAAGCCTTGCCAGCAGCGTCCTCGGGACACTTTATCGTGTTATCATACAGCCGAGATGTTTTTCTATATTCTCCTTCTGAAACCCGTTAGTACTCCATAAAATACATCTCAGTTTTTCAGATTTCATGTTGAAATAAATTTTTTGAAATATATTTCTCTAATTAATAAAATTTAACAAGAAAGGATTTACAAAGGTGTTTAATTTACGTATAGCGTTTACTTTTTATCCATAATATATTTGACAAATTTCAATATCAATTTTTCAAATATAGTTTATTATTAACTCTGTAAATGCGTTTTCAACATATGTATATATTTACAATAGTTGTTAATATGACATAAATAATTTCATTCAAGATTTTGAAGTCTTCATCTGAGGATCATTATTCTCATTATTCATGGCCTCAATATTCATTGAAAATTTTTATGGAGGCGATGTCTGCATATCAAAGATCCGAACGAATTCAATTATACAGTCTTGATGGATGGTGCCGCCGAAGCAAATATCGCTAGAGATCATAAGCCACGCCGCGACATGATGTTATATACACATATTGAGATATTTCGGTACTCCTGAGGGACATTATTGAGCGTCGGATTCAAATGAGCCTGGAGCTACTGGATATTCCCGAATCCCTCTCACGCTCTTCGCTCTAACAGCTTCTCTCTCGTTGTCTTCCTACCTCTTCATTCCTCCAACTATGTACCACCGTCTAGTCGTACACCAGCGAGACTGTCCCGCCTACACACTTTCCTCTTTTATTTCTTTCTTTCATCTTTCTCTCTCTCTTTCTTCATCTTTCTCTCTCTCTTTCTTTTAGCATTTCTCTTTCGTATGGACTATGTTTAGAAGAACTATAGAAACCAATCGATTGATTCGATCAAATGTCCATCGGCCACGGCGATTGTCATTGAGGTACAATGGACCCTTTCTCCTCTCCTCCCTCCCTTCTTCTGTCCTTTCCCCTTTTCTCCCTTCGCGATCCATCGTACTGGTTACGAACCAGCCGGGCTTCTGGGGTTGAGCTTCATGGGGATGAAAGAGTCGAATTCGAAAGAGCGAGTCCCAACATTCAACGCGACTTTTCGTCCTTTCCGATTGGCCGTCAAACACACTCTCGCTTGAATATTTTAAAGACCACCGGTCGCCATTCCATCGAGCAACCTACAATCGTTCATCATCAAACCGGCGATCTCTTTGACGTTTTTGTAAAATCGCGAGGATCGATGGCGCTGATCTCCGTCCTTCGAAAGTTTCCACTATCGATATCAGATTCTAACAACGATTACGATTGTAAACAATGATTGTTAACAATGAAATCTTTTTAATGTCAAACGCAATAATAATTCTGATAGAAAATAAATCAAAAACTTTTACATATGTTACTGTGATAGTACTATTTGTGATTATTTTATATGGTTATTTTAATACATTCAAAAATTTTAATCCTTGTTGTTTATAGAATTATTAAAAAAAACCATAAACGTAAAAGGTGGATTTTACACAAAATGCTTTTAAAATAATAAAAATAGACCTTCCCATTTGTTTCGCTCCAACACTGCTCATATATATGAAAATATAAAACGAACAGAAATATGTCGACATTTGCGTATCATTCTCCTATTGACAAGAGAAATGATCGCGACAGCAGGTGGACATTTATCGACAATGTCCACCAATCGATGACGGTAATTTTAGCAGTGACATAATCCGTTTGATACGCTATATTTGCACGTTGGGCGACATTTCCATAAATACACCTCGCGGGCAAGTGACGTCTATATATTTGAGCTGCAAATCAGCAAGGATGTCCGCCGGCTAAAGAAAATACGATTAATCGAAAATTACAGTTGAATTGTTTGCGAAGAGTAAACTACAAGCGCAATTTCAATTATTAACACTTTAACCGGTTAAACATTAATAGAATCTGCAATGATAGTAAATTTTCTATTGGCAGATTATTTGATAAAGTTTACAGTAAACTTTGATAAAGCTTCAGATTGATTTAAAAGTTGTTACAGGTCTATACTTTTAACTTGGAGGAAATCGAGAAAATACGCGAGCGAGAAGTAATGTTGAAAAACGTATATCAAGTAACCAAGTTTATCTCTTCGAAGGAAATAATGGGAGGAGATAAAAAGGAATGCGACAGAATCCTTTTGAAGATCGTTCTCGAGTACGCAATTTGTGCAAAACTTTCTTTTCACGTATTCGATCACGTGGACACACGTGGCTCGCAAGTATAGGAAACAATTTATTGAAAAGAATACATGGCCAAGCGGAAAACTCACAGTCTGTGTTTCTCTATTACGCAAGTATATTATTTTATATTATTTTTGAAGCTCCACAAAGGGCTTCGCAAAAAGTGTCCGAAGGCGCTTTCTTTAATAATATGAATTCCATAAAACGAATATAATTAATATTTAAGAAGTCTGACATCCAAATTGATATCTATATTAATTTAAATATTATTTGATTATTTTATGCTAGTATCTTCAGACTTGGTCAGTGTGAATTTCTTTAAACTCGCGCTTAAAAACTATTATTTTGGAGAACTGAATTAACTGTCGAAGAAATACATAAGTGACCGATCAAAACTCTATTTGTACTAAACAAAACTGTTTATTAACTTCAAAAAATATATTTATAAATATATTTCTTTTTCTTATTTTACGTAGAATGCATTTTTTAATAAATAAACTTTATGAATTTGAAAAATTTAAAGTATGCGATTTATCCTCGCATCGTCGCAAGACGATCGATAACATATTGTACGATATATGCCAAAATCATATATGAAAACTGAGCCTACTACTTGAGTGTTAACAATGAGCTGCCAATAGGCGGGCCGTGCGAACGAAACCTCGCCACGAATCAATCGACATCCATCTCAATTATGCGCGTCATACGCGCAAAACAGCCACGCATTCGGCGCGCACATATGCGGCCGCGTATATCGCCGTGTGCGTGCTCCGCCGACAATTCCAAGCCGGCCGGCGACCTAGCCAGGACAATGCATCCCGACCAGAATAATTCACCACGGCCATTATAGCCGCGGCAGGACAAGGGCTTTATTATTGACTTACGACTAATAGTCACGCTGTGGATTACGTACACGTGTGTGAGTATCTGCGTCCATGTGTGTACGCAGCACACACACGGCCGATGTGTGTATACGTCACCGATCTATTGCTCATTTGCCGGGATATGCTGATTGAACGAGCCGTCCGGTGAGACCTATAAGCCCACGATACCTTGCTTCCTGACTCCCGCGGGAATTCGATTGCCTCGCAAAAACGTATCATCGAATGGGCGTTGAGCCTGTCGTTTTACAATTTTGTCCTCGGAATATATCAAATTAATGAAAAACTTCTTTTAAAAGCGTAGTAAAAAAAAAAGGAATAAAGTAATAAAATAACACGACATTATTTATTCTGTGAGTGAATACGTTTCCGCGCGCGAATATCTCAATAAAATTCTATTTTTTATTTATTTTTATCAATCAACGTGAATTTCAGAGATTTCTCTTAAAATCTGTGTAATTAGATTATTTCAAACTATTTTCCTTCTAAGGTTACGTAAGTATCGATTCTCCTGAAGTTATAAATAATATTAATTGAAAATAAAAATTATTAAATCGAATATAAAAATTACAAAAAATAAATTGTACACAAGTGTAGATGATCAATAATATTTGAATCTATACCGATTACCTTCAAAATTCACTCTAGCATGGCGAAATTCTGTATTCCCGAATAAGCATGATCGGCGTAGGGTTCGTCACAACCGTTCTCAAGCAAATGCACGATAATCTATAAACCCATCATATGGCTCCGTGGCCGAGGCCCTGCCTCATCCTGCCCTCATATTCTGTTCTCGGTTGCGTCTGCGCTCCTTGCCCCTTAGCCCGTACTGTCTGGCCAGTTATCCGTCGTATCCTCTCGAATGACGTATTTCCATATTACAGCGGGATTAATTTGCGCCGTAGCGCGACCGAGTGTTAAGCAATGCTGATGAAGTTTGACAGGTGCCAGCCGAACGGCAGCGAGAACGAGCGGACAGTCGTTGCACCTCGTTGTACCTATAGATG